CCTTGAAAAAGAGATCAATGATCTCAATGGGATTCACCTGCATAAATAAAGGTTTAAAATGAAATGAAATGAACCAAGGCACAATCTTGGTCAAGGCATTTATGTAGAGTAGGAAGTCGGCCTCTCTTATTGATCGTACATAGATCATCAACTCTATTTCCAGCTGCAGGATGATAGACCAGAAGTGGAACTGGGAACATGACACTGACTCTGTCCACCCTCTACCCCTCCAGGATGTCGCCAAGTACCTTGAGTGCTGCCATCTCAATGTGAAACCCACAAACATCACATAAAATGATCTTCACTGTGAGTTGCTGGCCAGCTCCACTGGGTTTGTTTTGCCACAGCGTATAGAGGTTGATCCAGAGTGATCTGACCAGGATTCAGAATCTCTAATGCCTGACTTAGCTCATCGATGGAATGACGAATCATGGCCACATATTTGGCCTGGGCGTAGAAGAGGGGAAGTAGAGAAGTGAGCATCGATTCAGCTCACAAAGAGAGCTGCCTTCCAAGCTGGTCACTGCTGGGGACAGATGATGTTTGCAGCCCCTGAACTCCCATCCCCAGGTGACTGGGGGTGGAAGAGGAAGGCCACAGGTGGATGGGAAGTTTACTGGACCACATTACCAGGCCTGTTGTGAACTCCTCCGCTGTGGATGCAAAAAGGGTTGCAGTGGACAATGCAAATGTGTCAAGGCAGCAATTCAGTGCAGTGCCCTTTGCCACTGTGGTGGACTGTGTTTTCAGAACTAACTCTGCATTTATTTGAAAACCTGTAATATTTCATATATATTATGTAACATGTATGACTTCACCATAATAAATATGTTAATGGTTTACTGTGTATTTTGTTCCCTGAATACCAGATACATATAGTTAGCTACATTCTAGCATGTTGTAAATAGTACCAATCCATTCCCCATCCTTGAAAATGTAGGATTTTCCAATGGCGCCAATGGCGGCCATTTTGAAAATGGCCGCCATTGGAAAAATTTGCGATGGCCCTATAGCCAAAAATCTTCCTTAGGGCATGCTCTAACAGTGTGCCAAATTTCATGATTTTATCATCAAAAGCACAATTCTTTCAGATATTTCACATATCTGCTGGACTATAAGTATGAGTCTCAGAAGTGTTGTCCTTAGCCTTGTTCTCCAGCGTGGGAACCTGAACACACGTCTGAAGAAGCTGGATGAGAAGGAGGACTACGCAGCCATCATCCTGGCTGCTGCTGGCCTCGGGAGGATGGGCTGGGACGACCGCATCAGCCAGGTAACACTTCATGATCATCACAAGCCCTCCCTGTGAAGTCTCTCTGGGTCACCATTTGTCATTTAAAAGTATTGTTGGGTTGTATGAGGGTCTGATCTGTAGATGGTGGTGAGAACACCCCAGTTTGGAGTAACAGTGAAGAGTAAAGGTATTTCAGACATCTAAAAATATGTAAATCACTCACGTTTAGGCTATACTTAGAATGGTTTCCCCATATTTCCTTGCCGATATAAAGGGCTAAAGGCGTTATATTTGATGTCTTCAAATCCACCAGACTCCATTGACAAAAACTGTAGTTCTACCTTGCAGAACAAAGGAGTCTCTGATCTCCCGCTGTCTCGATTGGTGTGTTATTGTGTGACTTTGGAGTTTCAATTGGTTCATTTCGATTTACCAAAGTTGCACGAAAACACACACAAACTAACCGATCAAGGCAGAGGCCATTGAGATGATGTTACATTTGTAAGACACACCACTGCACTTAATTGTTAAAATGACTGTTTTTTCAATGGAGTCTGGGAGAAGAGAAGAGAGCTTCCGTAGATAAGTGCCTCATTTAACTAAATGTAAACACATCTGGGCTACACCCTTTAATGCTTTATGTACCTTGGGGGATACAATCATTTGACAGGCTGTGTCATTGGTGCATTTTTGTGTAAAATGGGTATAATAATAAAAGTGCAAATAAAGTGTAAAATAGGTTAAATAACAGCGTGATATGGGTATAATATGGATGTGAAAATGGTGTAACATTGGTGCAATGTGGATGTAACATGGTTGTAATAACGAGTAAAATGGAGTATAAATGTGTAGTATACGTTTATTGTATAGAGTAGCAGTCACTTATTTTTCCTAAATATTTATATGATTGCCCATTTAAGGTTAACAATCAAACTGTCTGATTTGTACACGTTAGATCCTGGGGCCTGAAGACTGTATGTACGCTGTTGGACAGGTAAGAACAACATGGAAAATATAAATATAAAATAAACAAATAATAATAATGCCAAACTACATCCATATGTGTTCTTGAGGGGAATAATCAATGTGTGTGTTGTCAGGGGGCTCTGGCAGTGGAGGTTCGGGCCAGAGACTTAGACATCCTGGAGATGGTGTCGGTCCTCCATCACCCGGAAACTGTGCTGCGCTGCATCACTGAGAGAGCTTTCCTCAGATGCCTGGTACACAAATGCACACACTCGCATATAAACACACACACAAACATTGAAAACTATTAAGAAAATGTCAATCCCCATATATTCAATTCACCTGTCGTTTTTAGGAGGGTGGGTGCAGTGTTCCGGTGGCAGTAAACACTGAAGTGAAGGACTCTCAGGTAAGAACGCTAGGTAGAGGCACACACATAAACACATTTGGATAGCATAAAATGTGTCATTTGCTAAGCCCCTCCCCCTGTTAGTTACTGTTGCTATACCTGTCAAGCTTCATGTAACACCTATGTGTAACACACACACACGCAATTCACAGCAGAAATGCTGGCAGATTTATAACTAACAATGCTTAGTCATCATTGAAACAATGGATTCTTAATTTAAGACAGAAGTAGTACCCGGCAACAGTTGATATTCTCACTGGCAGATATTAGCTAGTCTAACTATAGCTAGGTTGCTAATTTAACGTGAATTAAACATGAGTTGGGTAAAAACGCTGTCTCTTGCTCACTTTTTAATGTTTCCAGCTGACTTGTTTTAGATGAAAACCCTGTGTAAGTTCTTGAATCTGAATTCATTGCTACATACATGATATCATGCTAATAGGCTAAGGCTAAAGCTAAGATGTCCCAGGTACAAAGTTAGCATCTTCACTAGATGTACCCTAACCCAAGACACAAAAATCAGAGTTACAGTTTAGAGCTGTAATAGTTAGCTTTTGGATCATGAGTAGGATAAGTAAAATGTAAGAAGATGAGACTGTTAATTTTTTTTAACATAGTCACTGTATACAATAGAAAAATATACTTCGACACAGACGTTAAAATAATTATTTACTCAGGCAATCTCCTTTGCAAGTCAGTAATTTAACTGAGGTCTTTAGCCTATAAATTGTTAAAGGATTAAGATTAAGACAGAGCTGCTGATGCGAGCCTACATATGCTATCATTGCACAGTGAGAAGTCTGACAGAGTGGAATCTAAGCACCAGCACTTCATTGTGAGTGAATACCCCACTCACATCATTGTTCCAGCCTCGAACAAGGTTTTTTCTAACGTGATCTGTAATTCTGCAAAATATTGTTGACTGATGTTGATGGTCAAACGGTTTTTGTGTTGTTGCAGCTCTACCTGACGGGGGCAGTGTACAGCCTGGATGGCTCAGACAGTCTGAAGGAAACCATGCAGACAAGCATCGCTGCTGATGACAAGGTAACAGCGCAATAACCACTGAAACTGTAAGAAACACACAGCGTTGATCGTTCAACTTCACAAAGAGTAATAATTGTGTGGTTCCAACCAAACCCAAAGCATATTTTAAGCTTGGGAAATGATATTCAATACAAAGCAAAGGCATTTCAGGAATTTTGTGCATGTAGGGCAAAAATGTGTCGTAAAAGCCCATTAGTGTTAAGATCATCTCGAGGAGACTGACTTTGATTTAGAAATTGAGGGAAAAGTTATTGTGGTCGTCACAGCAGAACCTGCTTATTTTGGGTTCATACTGCTATACTAAGCCAGAAAATTCCGCAGCGTAAATGAACACACCTCACTAAACGACTGGAGAAACTGTGCGAAGTGTTGTGTTTTTTTTTTAATTTTCCTTCACCTGTCACGGCTTGGCTCTCAGCCATAACAAACGCAGCGATGAGACGACGACGTGAGTATGGAAAAAAGAGGAGTTTATTCACGCTCCCCAAAACAACCGACCACCAAACAGGGTTAACAAGCTCTATGCAGGAGGATAGCTGTTCCGGGCTGCTCTTCCTCCTACGTTCCCCCGGGCAGAGAGAGAGCCACTGCAGCCTACTTAGATCCTTTATAGAGGCGCTGATCAGATTGGGAGCACCTGGAGAGAGGCTGCACCTGGATACAATCAGGGAGAGAGAAGCACACACACCCACACACAGGCACACCCACACCAGCATAGGCAGTGAAGCAGGGGTCGTCACACACCATACCACATAGCAAACCTTCTGTTGGTATTGTTTGTGTGACAGAGCGTGGACGAGGAAGTGGACGAGCGTGTGCAGCGTGTGGGAGTGACAGCCAGTAAGATCTGCGGAGGCGCCCAGGACCGGGCTGAGCGGCTGGGGATCGACCTCGCCAACCTCCTGCTGAGCAAAGGAGCCAAGGAGATCCTGACGGTGGCCCGACAGCTCAACGACGCCAGATAATCCCGCCCCCCTGGAGGGCAAGGCTCTGGAGGAGATTGGGTCCTGGAGTGCAGTCAGCCACAGCCAAGTAAAATCTTGAATTCCTACACATTTGACTTTGCGCGAGAAAACGAACAACTTTGCTGCCCCTTGTGAGCTAAATCAAGAAAATATTGAGGATTTTAAACTACTTGAACCAAAGTCCTGCATAGTTTGGTCATAATCAGCTTGTTAAGAGTCACTATGGGTCCCAGCCTTTTACATGAATACCTCATGGAACCATCACCTGAGCCATTTAGAACCCACCTTAATACAAAATGGCCTTCCAACATCGTCCTCAGCAATACAGTACCATCATTGACTGATATCCTTACAATAAAATCCCTTTTTTAAAGCATATCAGAATCAGATTATTAAAATGGTATGCCACTTGAATTCAACGTTTTCGTACTCTTTTTCCCAACATAACCAATCAGTGTCCATTAGACCTCTTCTTTTGCTTTTTACATTCTCCGTTGGAAAGGCTTGCTTTGATGGTACCAAAGATTCCGGGGATGTGTGCAAATTGTTTCGAGTGCAGTAGGCATACGCTGCACTGAAAATGGGCCTCATTTAGGTGTGAAAGTTGAGAAATGTAAATATAAATGTGAATTCAGTTGTGAAAAATAGTATTTTTTTCTAGAAGCTTCAACTTTTTTCATCCAGCTCAAGTTGAATGCATCATTGTCAGCTATGGAGGCTATTTTAGACTTTGCTAGTTCCCTTTTTACAGAGAAAGAATATATTTAATACACATGATGAGAACCTTGTGGGAGGATTTTGTTTTACTCTGTTGGTTAACGCTGGAGCAATAAATGCTACTTTTTTTGTGCACTGAGCTGTTATACTGCAAAAGATTGTCCTGTTCATTATTTGCTGATGTCTCTTAGAAGCACCAGTTAGGCTTATGATATTTAAATATGGTGTACATGCTACATTTGTGTGTAAAGTATGTAATCGACTGTTTATAAGGTATAGTACACAGGACTGAACTCGTCAACTGGCAGTAGGGGTAATTACCGTTGTTAGAAATGTTAAGTGGCCAAACAAAACCTTATTTAACTGAAAAATACTACAGGTTATTTCTTTACATTATGAATGTTTACGGCTGCATTGCCACACTGAATAAATAGTCATCATTATGGTCCAATTTGCAACATACAAGTTTTTGGTGTAGTTCTTCTAAAGCATCTTTGCATTCATCAAAGAAAACAAAACATTTAAAATAATGCTTAGCTCTGCCTTCTGTATCTCATAATCATACCATATTTTTATTTTTATTACGAAATGAAGATTCTTGTCGTCATGTGATCGTATTCTTGTAATTATGGCTTCTGTAATTGTATCACATTAAATTACAAAATACATATTTCTTTATTACGTGATTTGAAATTTGTAATAATGAAAAATTGATCTCTTTTTATGCTTACATTATATTTTACTCTTTTACTATGAGATATAATGTCTTATATTAAAATATCCTATTAATTAGACCTTTTCTCAAGTTTTTAGATGTGGATGTCCTAAATAAGAGAATATCTCATTAAGATATACAGAAGTCATAATTACAAGAATATATACTTTGGTGAATGTAATTCAAGTTAACAAGGAAATGAATGAAAACACATTTGTATTTGCTGTAATGCAAGATGCTGTAATCTTCATTATAAAACTGAAGTGTTTCCAAAAGCAAAACATTTTCAGACTTGTTTAATTAAATAAAAATGTCTTGAATGCCATTTTTTGTGTTAGTTTCTATCAAAGTGCCATTTCTTCAAATGTCTTTCTGCATATCTGCCTTACTTTTACAATGCCTGTTCTCCTTCATTCTGCATCAGTATACTCACTGTACAGTTTGTGTGATGCCATATCATATTTGTTTTTATTTTATAGTTCTTCATTGTATATTTAACCTAATTTAAACCTCCCGAGACAATGTTAGCCATATTTGTTTTTCAGCTTTATTTTCTGTATGAATTATCATAGAATGTCTCTGTGTTCGGTTTCTGTACCACAGTATTCATTGTTGCAACAATCTTGTAATTGTTTTGCCAGTTCTGGGAACATCATGTCAAATAAAACCACTGATTTCAAGAAACAAATGTCAATAAAGCTATGTGTGTTAAACCTGTCAATTATTGTTGTCCTGTTTATTTTTAATTAAGTGTGGAGAGCTCAGACTTGTGTTGCTGATGATTTACATTACTTTCCTTTCTTACCTATATACTGAAGACTTCAGTCAACACTGAATTTAAAAACAACAATTCCCTCATTGGGG